AAGTTGAGCAAAAGCGTCGATGTTCTTGCTCACATTGTCTTCTTCTGGCTCGTTCTCCGCCAGGATAACAGCGTGGAGTTTGTGAAGTCTCATATATCCAAGGAACTTCATCTCCCACAGCCCATATTTATCTGCATCACCATCAAACAACAGCCTTCGACTGGGCCCGTAACCTGTTACGAACGTGGCCATGTTCTTCGGTGGATTAAAACATCAGAGACAGCAACTGGAACTCAAGTTTTATTCGTACACTACGAAAACTTCTCCATCACAACATGGACTCGTGTAACAACTCAATATGGTACAATACATAGCCTCAACCTGGTGTTGAGCTAACAACTACTTCCGGTCTACTCCCGGTTTATGTGACTTGAGTTTGTATCCTAACACACGTGTGTGACTTCATTAGAATTGGCCAGTTCAAGAATTTTGCAAGAAGGAGAAAATATACCTTTTTTGTGATCTGGTAGTTAAATATTTGTAATGTGGCTTTTATTAAAGTATTTTGTTCTGTTTACAAAAACTATTTTTTGTTTGTTTAACAAACAACTATGGTAAGGCGAACACTCCATTAATAAAAGCCAAACCTCATTGGTTACCCTGAAACAAGGATATTACCAGTCTGACTACATGTAGACATCCTAGGAAATTGAAAAATGGTTCTAACAAGTGTTGATATAATGACTTTTTAACAATTTTAGCATGCTTCAAAAACAATTTCAGTTTTCCACCTTAACAATAAGTGCTGCACTGCAAAACAAAGTCGGGTTACAGGGGACAGTCCTGAACTGGTTCAAAACATAGTTGTCTAATAGAAGTCAGCAGATATTCATCAGTGGAACACTTTCTAGATGCTTTAACCTGGACTGCCGGGTACCTCAAGGTTCTTGTTTAGGATTTCTACTATTTATAATTTTATTTACTCATCTCAGTTGTTCGATGTCATAGAAAAACACCTATCACATGTGCATTGCTTTACTAACAACACTCGGCTTCATTTTAATCTTCAAGCCAGATGGTCAAGTCAGTCAAGATGTTGGAGTGAGGGCTTTGGAAAGGTGTATTGCAGATATTTGAAGTTGGATGATTGAATATAGACTCTTACTTAACGATGACAAAACCAAGGTGTTATTAATAAACATTTATTGGAACATGGTATGAGCTAAATAAGTTAAATCACAACATTTGTTTACACCTTGGTGATAATGACATTACTCTGTCGACTGTGCTTGATATTTAGGAGTCTGGTTTGGAGAAAAAATGTCCATTTCTGCACATATCACCAAGACATGCAGAGGTGTATTCTTTCATTTACATAATATTAGAAAAATTAAGAAATATTTATCTGAGGATAGTCTGTGTACAATTTCCCATGCCTTTATTACTTCTCAACTCAGCTACTGTAGCTTAATGTATGGACTTCCCAATGTGCAAATTTCTAAGCAACAGCATGTCCAAAATGCAGCTGTTATCTACTTAACATGAACATACCCAAGTACTTGCACGTGACGCCAGCTCTGTAGGAACTTCACTGACTACCAAATGCTTATCAGATTATGATTTAGATTGATTGTTAAACTTACCTTAAAATCAATTTGTGGACTAGCATCATCTTATCTTAGTGACTTCATAAGAGTTAAGCAACAGAGCTCATAATCATTACACTGTAATAATAGCCTGCTGTTAGAAGTTTTTTAGGAGACAATGTACCCAACACCTGGCGGCTTGTCTTTTACTTTTGCTGTACTGGCTCTATGGAACGGCCTCCCGGCTGACTTGTGTGTTGTCACACCACTTAAAGTGTTTTTAAAAGCAAACTTAAGATATTTTTGTTTCGGTCAGCATTTTAATGTATTTTCGATGTATTCCTTTTTTATTTCCCTTTTATATATTTGTCTTATTTAGT